TTAAATGGAATAAATGTGGTCAAGATCCATGAGATTCGAACGGATTAGCCATCTCAACAGTGTGCACAATGGGGATTACATAATTGGGAATTTTCAACAAACGATCATGAATTTTGTTCGCTTAATGGGCACATTATAATTATACGAAGAAAAGTAGTTTCTTTGAAAAGTTTGACACATTATTGGTAAACAGCGGATGTTTATGCATTTGTAGTATCCACCAACCTCCAAATCGCATTAAACTGAAAGTTTTATTAAAATAAAAAATTTATAAAATTATATTGAGTTTATTATTACTACAGAGGAGTCTTTAAATTCGTAGCTCAAACTTCTATAGAATTTTAATTTGGTATATGTTACTATTTAAAATCGTAAATTTGCATGAACTTCCGCAGTCCAAAGATAAGTAAAGTGAACCTAATACATCTGGGTGAATACTAATGAGCGGTAGTATACAGTTGGATCATGCAGTGCTCGTTTAATTAGAGGATTTTAAACCTAAATAAAGCTTTAATGAGGACTGGTCCGACAGTCGAAGTTAAAATAACAAAAACTTATTAGTGACTAGTAACGCAATAAAAACGAAAATAACCTGCAACCGAGAGAGTGCTATTTGGTAGCTAAAAAAAATATCGTAGATTTTTCTGAATCGACGCGCCGTTGACCATCATCGGATGTATTGTGTTTCATCCACTGGACTCGACAGTTCGGTTAGGCCTCAGCTGTGTTATAAACACACAGTGACACGCTATGAAATTCTATTGCTATGTTTTCTGCATTACCTGTGCTATTTTTAAGCGAGGCGCGTGCTGGAATATCCTGCAGTCGGAATCGACTGCACGGCCTATGCTTTTTTTTCTGGATTATCCCCAGTCCTGAAAACATTCATCGCAATATTGAGGTTAAGTAAGAACTTGCAATATTTCTCTATTGGTGATTTGCGCGTTGAAAGAATAACAAGTCCTGTAAAAGAAATAAAGTCACTCCTTCGGTGTTGATGGACCCCAGTTGGTCGATCATTCGGTGCGTTGAACGTCCTTGGGCGTCGAACCAACACGCCTCGTACACGGGACTACAGAATTTACGCACAGAGGGTGTTGCAAAGGTTTCGAATTTTTATACTACCGTGAGAAATCGTTATATATTTCGTTTCGACAATTTTTTCTCGAGAGAAATTAATTTATTCGTAATAAGAATATAAGGAGTGTCGACACTGCGACGGTGACCTTGCGCAAATCGTGCATACAACAAACACGGTGGAAACCTAAACCGAGTGTTATTCTGGTAGAAAATAAATTATGAAAATAAACTACTTATGTTCGTCTTCTTTTTTTTTTTTTTAAGTATTCGGTTCTCAGTAACGCGCGTTATTTTCGCTGCACCCGGTACGATCGAAAATTAATAAAATAAAGCTATAGATTTAATGTAAACGACAATGAACAAGTAGATAGGCCACGCCGGTAACATGTAATGTATCTATAAAATCGTAAGACGAGAGTACGCACTTTTGTAATAGTAGTTCCGAGAGGAAAAGAGTTAAAGAAAAAAAAAGCGATATGCGATATAGCGAATGATATATTGAAGAAAAGAAGTTGACGCTTGAATACACCATAGGTTTCACCGACATATCCTGGTTAAAAAAAACACATCCTCTTTACGTACATACTGCATTACCTATGATAGTTATTAATTACAAGTACACGCGACGATAGAGTATTTTACGATTAAACGATAATAAATATGATTATTACGATTATTACAGGTTAATTGTACGATTATGATTCTGATTATTGTCATCATCATACTATGATTATTAAAGAGTACATAGGTACATATAGAGACGTAACGATGGTACAACTAAGGCAAGTATGTACTGTACATAGCTGTCACTTACCCCCTGCCCCTCCCCCACCCCACCATACGACTATATAAATATATATAAATACATACACACGCATTAATGTAAAAAAAATATATATTTATATATAGACAGAAAGCCATTATTATATCGCAGAACATGAATTATTGTTGTAATAATGATTATTTTCAATTATTATTGTCGCTACTATTATTTTATCGAAAAAAATATTATTGTAATTAGTATGTTTACTACTATGACCATTACCACAAGGACACATTGGAGATCGTGTATAATTTTAATTAGCGTATGACATATACATATACATATATTACCATCGCTGAAAGTAGATCCTCACCCTTAGCAGTACAGAAAATTCTATTTCTTATTTCCGCAGATTGGATTCTACCTCAATTTTCTTATTAAAAAGTCGTAAATATGTAACAGAGACGTCCTCCACAAGTTTCTAACCTTCCATTATCCGCTGAGCACACTTCGATCGGTCGAAATACGCTGTAACCGTATCGCCACTATCTAAAGTGTAGTGAGAATCGTTAAAAGAAAAGAAACCGTAAAAGAATCTGCAGCGACCTCAAGCCTGTGATAGTTACAAAGGATATTATTTCGATTAAGAATTTTGCTGTATTAGGTCAACCGTAAATCCATCGATCGGCGATATAGTTTGGAAAGTGAAACGTTTCTGCGACGCGATTGGTTCCTCACCGTTCGGGACACAAGTGTGTGCCCCTATTTGTCCAGCTCTCGCCGCGATGTTCGTTGACCGAACGTGAGAGAAGAGTGCACGGCTCGACACTATAGTTGTATAGTTTGCGTACTGTTATTCGAGATACGTTAGTAAGATTTTTGTTTTAAATTTAATTTTCTAACGAGCTTCGTTGACACCGCTGCGAACGCTACACGTTGTGCGGTTCGTACCCTCACGAGCAAATTCTGCTTCCACTAGGGGAAAAAGGGGCGTAGATGAAAGGTCTCCTACCACTTGGTAAATTTATTTCAAGAACTGAAATAAAGTTTAAATCGAATGTTAATTTAGTGTAAATTTCAATAATTTCCGATACCAAGTGATAGGAGGCCTTTCCCCTACACCACTTTTTTCCCTAACGGAAGCCGAATTTGCTCGCGAGGGTACGTAGACGTTGTAACTAGACTGTGCACTTTATGCATTAATAAATAGAAAAAGGTTCATGAAGTTTAATATCGTCCTTATTTCATGCAGTTTTATTAAAATTAAAAAGAAAGAAAAAATTAAGTAAAATCTCATTTCATGCACGCTTTTCTAATCGGTTCTATGTGAATTTACATAAACATCCGCCAGTCCAGTTGTAACGTAAAATTTTGCTTCACAATATTCACGTATAATGATGTATATTTACGGACTTCACGTTTCCTTAAAGAGTTGTAAAGTTGAAGAACGCGATCCAAAGGGGCATATACACCCAGAAAGGCCTGAATCGTGGCGTGGGTTTAAGAACTGTTTTTAAAACGATATACAATATTCGATTCGTTATTTTTCTGTTTTGTTATATACAGCTTTCAATACAATTGGACATTTTTTCGTGTATGAGAAGTACTAACAATAAAAATGTTACAAAATGCGTCGATGCAAAAAAAAAGGGAAATCGATTTTTTTCGACTGTCTAGATGTATATACGTCTTTTGAGAATACCTTCTTTAAATCGTATTGTATTATGTAATTATGCTGCTGTATACTTGTAATTTTATCTATTTATAACCGCATGTGATAAGAGATGAAAGAGAGAGAGAGAGAGAGAGAGAGAGAGAGAGAAAAGAGGGAGCGCGGGAGGGGGAGAGAGAGAGAAAGACAGTGCTCAAAGCACACGGAAGTAAATGTAATGAGTGTCATTGAGTGCTTTAATAAAATATATATGTAAACAAACGCTGTGCGCTTGTGATCTTATGAATTTACGTTCTTTTCTTTCTTTTTTTAAACTAATCCACTTTTTCTTTCTTTCTTTCGTACATGCTGCGCCATGTAAATCTCGGCTCGAAGTTTCCGTAACGGTATGTTCCTTTATTAGGCGAGAGATACGCGAATATCATTTCTATTAGCTGTAATAATTATACCTGTAGGGCTTCTTCGTAATATCGTTCAGTATATTACTGTATTGTGATGTTAACTTAAGCCATGGACCGAAAGTAGGAGAATTACTCGAGGTCGCTGTAGGTGAATTCTATATCGCTGAGGTGAGGGATCACTTTCTCAGTTTTTTTTAGGCTTGCTCGAGGAGCTCCGACGAATGCGAAACGTCGACTGTACTCGACGAATAAAAGGAATAGTTTGAGGAGAAAAGGAAATGTACCCGCATATTATCTTCGAGTGGCAAAATGCAACGATTGGGGACTATGTATTATTGTGATCAGCAAACAGACTACAATGTAGTTTGTTCGTAACTGAATGAACAAACGGAAACACTTGTGTAATAAAGTAAATATCCATCAAAACGAGTGGTCCCTTCATGTCCCTAACCCTATGTTCCCTCACGAGCAAACTCGACTTTCACTACGGGAAAAAGTGGCGTAGAAGAAAAGTCTCCTACCACTTAGTAAAATTATTTCAAGTACTGCAATAAAGGTTACATCGAATGTTAATTTGATATAAATTTCAATAATTCCTGATACCAAGTGGTAGGAGGTCCTTTTTCCCTACGCCATTTTTTCTCCTAATGGAAGCCGAGTTTGCTATCAGGTGTTCATGTAGAATGTAGATAGTAACTGGTCTCTGGGTGTTCATGTAAATGTTGAAAATTGAATAGTTAAAGAAATAATACTATGTTGGTAACATAACAAACTGATTTTTCGAAAACTCACAAATTTTAAAATAAGTAATCTATTTTCGCATTTTTAATAAAGTTACAACTGTAGAAATTTATGCATGTAGTTTTTATCTTCAAAACACATAGTCAGCTAGTAAAAAAGAATTTAAAATGTGTGAACATACTTTGAAATTGAGTATTCTTTGGAATATACATTCATGTATCCTACATGTTGCATACGTTATGTATGTATAAGTATCCACAGTGTATTAATAACAGACATAATTCTCCTATTTATGTTAAAATTTATTTTATAATTAGAATTCTATGCAAACATTCTCTTTCGCTTATTCCATTTCAACATCGACTACTACATCTTCCACAATGACTTGTTCTGAACTCACGGGAACTTGTATTATAGGCAAAGGATCTGGAGATCGAGTATAAGTATTACTAGTTGAATGTTCCTTAAAATATTCGCCACCTTTCTCTTCATATTCCTTTTTGGTGACTAAGAACTCAGGGAGATTCCCATTCAGGCCAAAGTCCCTTGCGCCGTACCACGCATCTAAGTTACTATTTTTCGCGATGATTATTTGAAAGTTAGAACCGAATGGTCTTATTTCACGAAGTTCGCGGTTCAATCTTTCTAATAAACCTGGAAACCTAGTAGGTCCACCGGTGAGAAATATGTTTCCCACGAGTCGTAATTGTTGTTCAGGTAAGTACAGTTTTAAAACGAATTCAATTGTTTCAACAATGCCGGCCTCCACGGAACCTATCATAGACGGTTGAAATAATATTTCTGGAGCCCTTAAACGTTCTACTCCTACATGTAACTGGTGAGTTTCTCCAGGAACCAAGGGAACATTGGAACCAGCACCATCAAATTCTGGATCATGATGCCGCAATACATCTTCCAGTTCCAGAAGCTTTTCTTGTTCCAATTCGGAATCTGAATCTCCACCTTCCTATGTAATAATATTGAATTTGAATATTTTACTCAATTTTAAAACTATCAATTTTTAAATGGTATTTACGAACCCTGTTTATAACTTTATATACGTCCCAATCCTCGTCCCTCATACCAAAATCATCATCGCGTTTTTCTTTTCTTGCTAACTGACTTATTATACGCATTCTTTCCTGTGCAGCAGCGGTTCTGCGTTTTGCCATGTCTTGCCTACGTTGTCTTTTAGCCATTCGTTTTTCCAATATTTCCTGTCTGAAGGGTTAAACAAACGTTTCGTTTAATGTTCTTATAAAAATCATCACAAGTGATTCATTACCGTTTTTTTCGCACACCAGCTATCCATTCATCAAAATCTTGTTGATCTTTAGGCTGTAGACTAGATTTTATTTTGGGTTTTTGCTCTTCCATTACAATATTTTCTTCCTGAGAATTAGCTGCTACTATTTTTTGCCTTGTTCTTTCCACTTTTGCTTGTAGATTGTTAATCATTTTGATTAAGTCTGCTTCATTTGCAAGGGAATAAGTCTTTAAAGCCTGATCAAATTCATCAGTTTCACCCTCCTCTAATAAATCTTGAACAGCTAGTAATTGATTTAACTGTTCCTCATCCTCTGCTAACTGTATACATCAATTAATACAATGTTATACTTTTATCAAAACAAAACGTTTGTTCATATAATAGGAATCACTAACCCTTTCTTCTCTTTTGCGTGCATTGATTTCCATTAATCTCCTAGCCAATTCACGTTTTCTTTCCTTTTGCTGCTCAACTGTTAAACCAGGAGCATTTGCAGGAGCCACGTAAGGTAACTGTACCCTTAAAACATTTGTATCATAATAATCTGGATCAGCCCACTTAGAAATTTCATCTTGATAATTTAAAGCTATCGTAGAATGTTCGTGTATTAATTCCTATAAATCAAGAAATTACATGTTTGTAGCTGTAGTGAATAACAGATAAGAAATGTGTGATTTATCTACCTCTGCTCGGCTTGGTGTTATAGCATTTACATGTACTGGATACTTAAGTTGGAGTAACCTGTGCATGTAAGATGTAATATGATATCCACCAACATTGATTCTTCTAGAGTTTATAGGATCTGCTTTACCATCCAATACTGGTATTATATGTGTGGTATGATAATCAATACTAATAATTAAACCATCCGGTGGACAATTATTATGCTGATAAGAAAATAAACAATCAACTCCATATGCTATTGCTGGTACATTATAACATTCGAACAAAAGTTCTGCCATTACTGAAATGCACACAATTAATCAAATACTCTTAGCTTACACTTAAGTACAACAGATATTTGTTGTCTTACAATTTCTAGAATAATTAGGATTTAGGAATGTTTCTGTTAAAATAACTGGATGATTAACAGCGCCTTCTGTGTCTATTCCCATGTGAGCAAAAGTATAATCGAATATTTGTTCCTGTGCTTCAAAATGTGTAACAACATTCCTATCAAACTGTGTCTTCAATTGAAAACGAACAGCTTCAATGTTTGCTATATCATTTCCAACCTGTGGCTCTCCATCCTTTTTGCCACGTTCTTTTCTTGGCTTTGCAATCAGATTTTTAAATATCAACTGAGGTTCTTTCTCAGTAGCCCAGCCTACCCTACAGTTGTATGATCCTAATAGAAATTATTTCTTAATTTTCATTATATAAGATAAGTGTTGCATAAATTGTCAGTAAACCTTGTTTACCATTGTCAATAACAAGTGGTATTACTTCAGACTTTACTCTGTCCGGATAAGGATGAATTATATCAGCTATGGCTTTAATATCTTTTAATTCAAGAATTTCCATTTTACTTAATGATTTGGTTACTGCTTTTAGGTTCTTATATATTACATGGAACTGTTTTCTTACTGTACATACACATTTATGACTGCAGGACTATAATATAAACAACCTCACGCAAGTAATGGAGTAACGAAAATGGCATGAGGTGCCATCTACTACGTGAAAACATATATCATATTTATTACATAAACTACATACAGTTACTGATTCTTGGGGATAGATGACGCAATAATGATTTTTAGATGCCAATTTTATTCGAAACCTTCGAAACCAAGTACAGTAGACATTTGTTTCCTGACTAGTGAGTCGGAGCTGTAAAGGACCAAATTCTAGGAACCGTGCAGGAAACGGACACTACATAGTTACCCGAGCGCTTTCCCCACCACTCGGCCGTTCAGTCGTGCAACGCAGTACATATAGGGTGGGCTGGATATGCGCACTTTACGGTTACATTAATTATCTTCGTTATTTTTAGAGATTTCAGGAAATTTTATTCATAGAAGTTGTTCAGTATGAAGAGGGCTATTACTTAGCAGTAATAAGTTTTTCGTAGATGGAGTATCTTCTAAGTTTTTAAAGTTAATTATGTTATTTTTATTAATGATATTGAAATATTATGGAATAAAATACTGTTATTACATAAATCGATTCTTCCAAACATTCTGTGTAATAAAGTATTAAGGTATTATGTGAAAAAGGTAATAATTCGTGACATATTTTAGTGGCAAATGTCTAGCTTGGTTAGTATCTTTTACCCATTACGTGTGATCTGCAAGACAAGAAGCAATCAAATTGTCACCAATATTCATTCCACCAGTATTCATTGCTCCAATAAAAACATTATTACAACAGTATTATATATACTGCGCTTTCCGTGATGAGATATGCGAGTTAAACGCGACACCGTATGAATTCCGGCCTGAGCGTGCTGGGCGACAGAGTAGGGTACGCGCGCGTGTGTGAGAAATATGTGTGAGTAAGGGGCGTGGCTTACTCCCTCCCTGTCTTTGAAGGGGGGTGGTAATTTTTTGAGAGGGGTAACCAGAGGAGGGGGGGCTCCTGAATTATTCGGGACATAGGCAGGTAACTGAGTAGGGGGTTGAAATAGGCGATACAGCTCTCTCCCGATGATGGAACGTACGCAAGCATGATGATTCCACCCCTGGTACAGACTCGGTCTGTGGGTGAAGCAAAGAGCGAGCCGGTACTCACTTTTGGAGATGAAGGATCGGTTGCCCCGACGACCATACTCCTTTAGTTAAATTTTTATTAGGTAGGGATGGGACGATTCTAGTGACTCTCCGCCCCCCGCTCGAGTACTTCCCTTGCCGCCATGTGGCCCGGGCCTAAAAAAGTTGGTCGGGAAGGAAAACTGGGGGAAGCAGGCTCCCCGGGTAATGCCCACCGCAGTCCTATGGCAGGGCTGTGTGAAATCTACTGACTCTTATGTGGTCACTGATGGGCCTTGGGGGGAGGATCGATACTCCCTCCTCCCGGGAGAAAAGGTCCAAACTAAACTAAACTAAGGGGCGTGGCTTCCGTGCAGATAACGGTGGCGCGGGAAACGAATCTCTACTGTATACTGTAATACGTTTTCTGATGGTGGAAAGTAGAACCACCGACTAGGTATAGAATAGACCTATCATCCAATGCTTTTTTCTGTCCCACGTTCATAGGGCTACGTAGCCCTGTTACCATTTTAGTGTCAATACCCGACGTTACCGATAAAGCATGAATTCTGAGTATTATTAGCACAAATGAAGTGTTATATATTCCATTCATATTACGTGTATCTATATGATTTCACGAGAATAAAAATATCCGATGCTTCAGTTTAAGGTTAAGGGATAAATATGACAGTCATGAAACATGAAACGGAAAAGTATATATTTTTTCACTTAACTACAAGACAATTTATTCTAAATGCATCGTTAATGGACATTTTACTAATGTTACTTTTTACATGTTCTTGTTTTATTCGTTTTTATATCTTGCTTTACATTTGTATATTTGTAACAGATAAATTCAGAATAATTTATAAGTTTCATAAATAATTTATTAAATCTACCTTTTGGCCGGCGGCTTACAATTTCCCTTGCGGGAATGCCTTACCGTAATGAGCCATCTCGTAACCGCGGGATTCCGGGAATCGGGTGACGTTACGGCGTGCGAGCGAGAGCGATAGAGCGAGCCGCGGTATCGGTGCTCTCCGTCGGTGTTGACGCGTGCCGAAGAATTTCGGTGGTCTATGGGGGGAGGTGTGCGAGCGAGAGAGTACGGTAGAGCGTGCCGCGGTATCGGTGCTCTCGGTCGGTCCAACGCGCTAGTGTATTGTATAATGAAAAATATTTTTCCAAACAGTTATTCCATCGAAAGAAGACATCGATCAACGTCTACATCCTCAAAGCGTCTATCACTGCGTTAAGTTACTGTAAGTTAAACTTAAATCATAATTCGATATTCATTGTTATATTCATATTCATCATCACATCGTAATGATAATTATTATTATTAATTTTAGTCTATCTATTAATAGACTTAAATTGTGACCATCCATTGTGCATACCAAGTTATTATTAATTCATTTTGCTCGTTGATTCTCTACACAGACTTGGGGTACGGGCAGTGGGTCTGTACCTATGGTACGGGCAGTGGGTCTGTACACTAAGACTGTTTGCCGATCCCTCTGGTTTCTATTGAGAAGCCAGATATCGGACGTGTTTAGTCTTTGCCTGGTAAGTAGGATTTGGAGAAAGAATCGTGTGTGCAAGGGTACGGAGTAGTCGGGAGGCTGCTCCGTAAACAGAGAATCTCGCTTGCACTACCATGCTTGTGTACTCCTTTGGTTCGGGTCTGATACGCAGGTCTACCGGCGCTCTAGCCACAGCTGCGACCTTGGGGGGGAAATCGCACTTCCCCTCTCCCGGGAGACCTGAGCACTAACTAACTAACTGGTACGCAGGTGACCAGCCCAAAGCTCCATGGCAGTAAAAGATGGATCCGGGTTAGCGAGGTGTCGCCCGTCTTTCCTATTTTCTTAAACCAGGTTCTGGCGACAACACTTGCATCGCGATACTTGTTCATACCGTAGTTTAACGCGTAGTTCATCGTAGACTTAATAACTGCTTGGTATATAGAATATTAGGTGCGTAAACGAAATGATCGATGGAACTTTTTCCATTCCGTCTATCTCTTTCGTTTGAGTATTAGCGACTACGTTGCGTTTAGTTTAAGTTATTTTGTATTAATAGCATTAATTCGTATTAATTAGAATATTAAGATAATATTAGTTCTAAGCTGAAGAACGAAGACAACCGACGAGGGAACTTAGTTTTTTATAGGTTTAGGCTCAAGAAAGAAGTCATCCGCCGAGGGATTTTAGTACCGATAGTATTACATAGTTAAGATTTAAGTTATTTATAAGGTTTATTGTGAAAGGTGGGTAGATGTAGAACTTGTGATTCCATCTACCTGCCTTGGGCCTCCACTCGCAGCAACCTCCTCGTGGTGAGGCCTGGGCAATCGGTATTATCATCGGTAAAGTACTGTAAACTGAAGACAATACCGAGCTAATGGCTGCGAACTTCGAATCTATCTCATAAAACCACGTTCTATATTACATCGAACTAGGATTATTTTAGAAATCGATATGAGATTCAAAGTGTAAAAATGTCTAGTACTTTGAATGTTTTAGAAAATTATTCGAGATAAAGATGTATGGAACTACTGAAAATTACTTTAGATTCCTTTTCCTTATTCTGTAAATTCTTTGATTGGAATATGAATGCTGCTGGAAGTATGAACATTTTCACAGGACAATGATATAAATGGAACTTTAAAACTTTTTTAAGTGTTACAGTGATATTTCGTTACATGTTCCATAATGTCAATAGATTTCCCCGCAACATCCATAATTATTACAAATGTCAATATAACGAAATATCTTTTATGCGATGTTTGTGATGTAATAAAAATCTGTGTTTCGATTACGTTTTTGATACGTATTACTCACTTATATGTAATAATATAGAATAAAAATATACTGTTAGTCCGATATTTGAAAATATACATGCGTTCGTTGTCACTGTTAAACTGTTGTAATAACAATGGAATAATAAAATAATTTACTCAAATGTACATAATAATACATATACATATTCATAAAAACAATATTAAACGCAATAACTTTTTTGTACGCGAAAAAAAACCAATAGGTCCGTCGGGACGGGAACCCAAGACTCCTTTCTAATACATCTACTGTACAGTAAACGGACGGAAGAGAATCCGTTCACGACCATGGTCCCTTCTTAGATTTAACGTAGTTCACAAATTCACCGTTTTCATAACGCAGAGGGCAGCAGAAAATCCCTGACTTTTTACACTATCGGTATTTCAGAACATGAGACACGAAGTCCCATAAGATGATAGGTCTATCCTATACCTAGTCGGTGGTAGAACTAATTCTGGCACTTGTCAGCCTAGTTCTAGATGTCGCCGCCAGGTGGCGCCACAATACCAATATTGCAGTTTCTCGCGCTTTTTGAAAAGCTTCAGAATTAGTGACCATTTCTGCCACCAGGTGGAACCCTAATTTTACACATTTTTTTATTTTGTTGTTACTATTCAATTCAACACCTTCAAAGGTGAGATTGAGTTGTCTTTTTGATTGTTGTAATTCACAAACAAAACTATCCTATGAATCTTTCGAGTAGATTTTCACTAGAACTTTCATTTGCATTTCATCTCTGTCTATGGTCAGTAAGTTGCATATAAATCCACATAAATTAATGATGTGACTATAAGCTTCGCTTCGCTTTTTTAATTCCGCTATTAACTTATCAATTATTAAATAAGTTTTCTAATTATTTCAAAAGAGATTTCTAATTATTCCAAAAGGGAAACAGTGAACAAAAATTCATTCAACCATTTTTTGACATACATAAATGGATGGTTCAGAATGGGGCGCCTCTGGAAAGTGGGGCCCGGTGCTATAGTCCTCCCTAGCCCCCCTCCCCTTGATCCGAGCCTGCTGTAACAATACATTCTTTTGTGTATTGTAACGTAAAAGGAATCGAGAATGTCACGAATGAAGATTATTCGGTTTCCTTCAATCGCACGTTGTTATTCCGTCTTGTTTTCTATTGTACAGTATTACAAATTTTTCGTATTAAATGTCAAATTTTATTTGGCATATTAACATTATTGTGCTATTGAGAAATAAAAATTAGTCGAATTATTATGTTTCATATTATATTCGTAGAATATCGGTAAGTAATTGATAATTGTTTACTGCATTACCAAATTTTCTCTATTTAACATTAACATTATTTCCCAGATATTTATTCATTGGAATTTTACATACTTCAAAATAGCATCAAATGATTATACTTTTATCATATTTTATTTTTATCGTGTTATTTTATTTAAATCATCGTGGCTGCTACCTTATTATGATGTTTTGATTATAAGTGTTACGGAATTATTATTATTATTATTTACTTATTTATAGTTATTGTTATTGATATTGGACTGTGAATGTTTATCTGTTACAAATTCACGTTTCTACGGGATAATTTGTGGACATAACAATTAAGTATAAATGGTTTCACTAGATAAAAAATAAAAATTTGTCTGTTTACAAATGCACAAAATCTGCCGTCCAATTATTGCATACAACTCGTCACGTATTCCCCATTATGTCTGATTCGAAAACACATTACGATACATCTGATCGTGTGTCAGCTATCAAACGTGAATCTGAATTGTTCTGCTTTCTCACCCATTAGTCATGGGACACCGTTTATAAAGCGATCCCTTGATGAAAGAAGAAAGTGAAATTGTATTTTTATTCAAATTACTGAAAGTCCCGCTGTCGTTTCTTTCTGTTTCGCCACGGTGGGTACGTTTCACGCGTGCGTACGTCAACCGTTTTACTGGATTATTTATGCCAGATTACTTATCGGTAAAAAGATGCGTGTCGAAGTATCGGTTGGAAATCTTTTTTCGTTGCGAGACTTCGATAGGAAGATTCGTGGAGTATATTAGAAAAACGTGAGAGAAATGAATGGTTGATTAACATTCGTCTCTTTAACGGAAGAAGCATTATTATTATTGCTATATAACAGAAAACCTATATTAGGTAAATTTATGAATAAACTGCGATTTTTTATTTAAATTCTAATCTTTACATCGAAGTGTGCGAAAGCAGGAATAAATAAAAAATTAATTTGCTTCAATGATTTCATTACACATTCTCTTGAAAATTAAATATAATTGTTATCTAACTTGGTGACGGTTATTCAATTTAAATATTTCTGTTTTAAATAATTTTCAATTCCTGTAGAAAATTGTGGAAATTATCTACACTGTTAATTTGTTTATGGATATTTATATTTTCACAGTCACTTATTTGCAATCAAATTCTTATGTTTACTTATTATTTATTACAAATTATTTAAATAAAGATTAGTTTAATAATGAAAGTAATGATTCACAGAACGCAGGAACAAGTAAACTTGTGACTCTTATGTCTTCGATGGTAAAAATATTTATTATGATATTGTCTGAATAGTAAAAAAAAATTGGTAGTCATCGTGTTAAAGGGTGTGATTTTGAATAAATATTAATGAAGAGTAAACGTTCTCGATCGAAAGCGACACGTATTCAAAGCACCCGGAAGAGAATGTGTCCACAGAAATAACGATATTAACGTTCACGGACACTTTCGCAAGTGTTGCGCAAATATAATTACAGAAACGCGCGTGAAATCGTATATGTTGATCGCAATTGATAAAATAATATTTTCCGAGTCAGTTTTCATTGATTCAGTAACGATCATCGATTCACTTCTCTGTCATAAAATCATCGTTTCTTATCCACCTTCCGTTGATTAAATAACATTATTTGTTCCACCTTTCATTCATTGAATAATATTTATTTCTCCACCTTTCACTGATTCAGTCTTCTTTTTTTCATTGATCATTGAGTAACCAAAGGATATAAATACTCTTTACTATTCTGTGCTCCAGATGAAAATATATTAAAAATATCTTACATATGTACTTGTAGTTTAAAAATTTTTGTAGTATTTAAAGACGTTTTACAAAAAATTTTCAAGATATACTAATTGTTAAATTGGAAAATTTCGCGAAGTTCGTTTCTCGTAGAACAAATTGGGTTATGCAGAAGACTACCAACCCTCGAAATGACAAAAAATTAGTTAAACACAGTACGGATCCCATGATTTTGTGATTTTTATTTTGTAAATAATTACCAACCCATAGAACAACTCTTACATTTTCCAATTATTAAAACTACCAAACCACATAAAATAATAGTGGACTAGCCCCTATTAAATAAGTCATAAAAAACTTTGTAAAGCAACAATAACTAATAAACAATACCTAATAAAAATAAAGTTAATTTCTCTTTATATTAAAATCTGCAAACTAAATTCACTACATTTCAGATCATTGATGGTTGGTAGCTTTCTGCTTAACTTGGCCTAATTAATTATAACATGATCGTTGGAAAAGGCGAATAATAAAGTAAACTGTTGTCTGATTTATTTACTGTATTTTTGCACTTGACTCGCGAAGTGACTTCTGTGATAGATACTTGAGATTTCACTTGACTGTCGAAGTGAACTCGTTGATTTTGCGCGTGTTTATATCCGTTAATCCGTATATCGGAGAGGTGAATATGTTTGTGCGTTATTAATGTTCCTATGCTTGTATGGGTATGGCGAAGTTCGCGGTAATTTTAAAGGGGGAAGCGAGATATAGACATGTAAGTCTTGCAAATTACAAGAAAAAACTAAAATGGATAAAGTAGTCAACTCTTTGCACTCCACCAGCGCTATTACTACTACATTCATCCATGACAAAGTATAAAATTTTAATTATAACCAATAAACGAGCCTTGGAGTGCAAGGGGTTAATTGTTCTGCACGTGGTTTTCAGCTGTTCAAGAATATCAGATTATCTTCGATGTCGACTGGTACCGACAAATTTGGGAACAAACGAAATTTTCCTGTGATAAATTTTCTACTCTTCATAAATCGCACTGGTCTATGCCGTGAAATGTTTCTACAGATACTGCCTCGATAAAACCATTTTCCAACTTTCAAAAAATCCTTCCACCGTCAAATATTACCTTCTACAATTTCCCTCTTGCAGTACCATACAGATTGCAATATGATCAAATTTCTATATGATAATATTACTTCATTTTCATCTTATAATATTACCAAATTTCTATATTATAATATTATGAAATTTCAATTTTATAATATTATCAAA